GAACTTAAACACTGAAAACTGGACTGACACTGTTTCAATTTACTATGATCTCTATATGAAGCTGCTTTGACACAGTCTACATTGTAAAATCGCTAAACAAAAACAGGTGAATTTAATTGAATATTTCAAACATGTGGGAAGCACTGCAGCTTTGTAATTTGTAACAAATGTGATATAAAATAATTCAATTTTCTCAACTCATTGCCCATTAGCTATAGCAAAATAATAGTTTTAGGCTGGGGTCTTTTGAAAATAAGATTTGAATCAAGATTACAATCTTTTACTGATTAATCATGCACATCCAAGTCGTGTGGTCCTTGAAATGGTGCAACACGCACTCCTCACTCATGTGTGAAATAACAATTAAGATCCATAAAAGACTGCAATTTAATTTATTCCATTGAAAATATTGTTGCTCATTCACTTGTGCCAATAATTATAAAGTTAATTGCGATATTAACAAAGAAATATTACAACAGTTCCCGCCTGAGGGGAAACACAATCAGCCTTTTTACCCCGGCCGCTGTGGGTTTTGATAAGATGTGAAATCATCAACAGAGTTTGAGAGAGCGTAGAATTTTATTAATGTCTTGCAGGCACTGTTTTATTACTCACAGTGTTCAGAGCTACAAAAACATATGAACACGTAAAGAGCATGACGGTTAGCACTTACAAAAGACACCACAATAACACCTAGAACAAGTGGAGATGTTGATGAGAATCGAGAATCTGCTTTTCAGGTACGGACACACATGCACACGCTCACACAGATACATCATGAATGTTCACTAATATGTGTTGTTTATTTATTTAATAATATTGTTCTCAAAATCTATTTACGTACCAAAAAAATATAAATAGATTTTCAGTCTGTATATATTGTCTTCTACTATCATCTGCCTGTTGCTCTCGAGTCTGAAGTGCAAGGCTGTCATTAAGAAAGACAATAATATCGGATATATTAAGCTACAGGGCACAATACAGTACACAGCAGATGTTCAGAAAGGGAGACAACAGAGCAGTCTGTGATCAAGATGACATCCAGCAAAAGACAAACCACATGGAAGCGTTAAACAAAACAAGCAACAGCCGAAAGCACAACAGAAGATCGAGACGTTGGTGTACAGATGTATTGAGAGTCAAGAAATGGCACATCTGTTTCTCAAATATAAGATCAGATTGAACCAAATATAAGGTATTTCGGTCACACTTTACCTGAAGGGGTGTTCATAAGACTGTAATGAACCATTTATAATCATAAAGTGACATGTCATGAATATGAATATGAGATTTAATGCATGTTTATGACAACTAAGATTAAGTGTATATCCTTTATTATATCATAAAATCCAAAGATGATGTTGTTTGAGATAACTGGTCACACTTTACAATAAGGTTCATTACTTAATGTTAATTAATGCATTTACTAACATGAACAAACAATGAACAATACATTTACTACAGTATTTATTTATGTTATTAAACGTTAGTTAATGAAAATACAGTTACATTGTTAGTTCATGTTAACTCGGTGCATTAACTAATGTTAACAAGCATGGACTTGGAAGTTAATAATGCATTAGTAAATGTTCAGTTATGATTAATAAATGCTGTACAAGTGTTGTTCATGGTAAGTTAATGTTAGTAAATGCATTAACTAATGAACCTTATTGTAAAGTGTTACCAGATAACTTGTCATAAATCTGTCATAAACATGATTGTCATGAGGCCATTAAAAGTGTCATGAATTTTATAACAGCTTCATTAATATTTTTCTTAGCCCCAATTTAAATCTGTCATAAAAAAAAAATGTCATTACATGTGATTTAATATAAATGATGCTGTTTAAAAATTATTCAATTGAGTATTGAGACTTTTAATGAGATGTTCCAATGGCAAATCTAGTCTAATCTACTAATAAGCATTGCAAACTACACTCACCGGCCACTTTATTAGGTACACCTGTCCAACTGCTTGTTAACAAAAATTTTCAATCAGCCAATCACATAGCAGCAACTCAATGAATTTCGGCATGTAGACATGGTCTGCAGTTCAAACCGAGCATCAAAATGGGGAAGAAAGGGGGTTTAAGTGACTTTGTACATGGCATGGTTGATGGTGCCAGACTGGTTTTTCAGAAACTGCTGATCTACTGGGATTTTCATGCACAACCATCTTTAGGGTTTACAGAGAATGGTCTGAAAGAGAGAGAACATCCAGTGAGCGGCGGTTTTGTGGTTTCAAATGCCTTGTTGAGGTCAGAGGAGAATGGCCAGAGTGGTTCAAGCTGATTAAAAGGCAACAGTAACTCAAATAACCACTCGCTACAACCGAGGTATGCAGAAGAGCATCTCAGAATGCACATCTCGTCCAACCTTGGGGCGGATGAGCTACAGCAACAGAAGACCACACTGGGTGACACTCCTGTCAGCTAACAACAGGAAACTGAAGCTACAATTTGCAAAGACTCACCAAAATTGGACAATAAAAGATTGAAAAAACATTGCCTGGTCTGATGAGTCTGGATTTCTGCTGCAACATGAAAGCATGGATCCATCCTGCCTTGTATCAGCGGTTCAGGTTGGTGGTGGTGGTGTAATAGTATAAGAGATATTTTCTTAGCACATTTTGGGCCCATTAGTACCAACTGAGCATCGTGTCAACGCCACAGCCTACCTATTGTTGCTGACCATGTCTATCGCTTTATGACCACAGTGTACCCAACTACTTCTAGTAGGATAACGCACCATGTCATAAAGCGTGAATCATCTCAGACTGGTTTCTTGAACATGACAATGAGTTCACTGTACTCAAGTGCCTCCACAGTCACCATATCTAAATCGAATAGAGCACCTTTGGGATGTGGTGGAACTGGAGATTCACATCATTGATGTGCTGCGGACAATTCTGCAGCAACTGTGTGATGCTACCATGTCAATATGGACCAAAATCTCAGAGGAATATTTCCAGTACCTTGTTAAATCTATGCCACGAAGAAGTCAGCCAGTTCTGAAGGCAATAGGGTGTCCAACCCGGTACTAGTAAGGTGTACCTAATAAAGTGTATAATGGCTTTATGACAATCATGTTTATGACGGATTTATGACTGGTAATGTCAAGTTGTCATACCAAAGATATCTCAAGCAATGTCACCTTCGCATTTAAAATGACATAACAGAGCAAATGACACTTAATGACAGTTGTCATAAGCATCAAAACCTCATTCATATTCATGGGGTGTCATCTTATGATTATGAATGTATCAACAGTCTTATGAACACCCCTTTAAGTAAAGTGTCTATACTAAATGGCCTTTTTATTTCCAATAGAGAAGGCATCCTTGGTTTGTGTGATGATTTACAAATGCTTTAGTTTTGATAATTTGTGTGACGGCTCTGGTTGGAGCTCTACCGCGGAAGAAAGTCCATCAGGCCGTTTTCCAAATATGGTTTGATTAGCCGCGGGAGCTCAGATGAGTCATGCAATTATGCTCACAGAAATCTAGCTGTTCGCGAGGAGCTGTCTTGAATATGAAAGAGAGGGATGAGCTCTAATTTGTACTAAAAGGACACTGAACATTTGTAAATTGTATAGGCTGCTCTATTCCTTTTGTTTGATATATAAAAATGTACACGTGGACCCTTTTATCGTGGGCACATTGGCATTTCTTTGTGTCGTCTATTGCAGAGACAGCTTATTAGTTCAAGTCAAGAACATTTCACAGTATCGTTATAGGCTAATTCCAAGTAAATGGCTTCTGGGTAACTCTTGAGCAGAACAAAATGCTATGACCTCCACATATGTGCATCTCTGCTTTGGTTCGTTTGACTGCAGGTATTGCAAATTCACACAGAATTTGAACTTATTAGTAGGGCTGGGAATTGACACATATTTCATGATTTGATTCAATTTACAAGCTCACAATTAGATTATTTTATGCTTTGATTGGATAATGATTAATCGAGCTTTCCTATGTGTAATTTTTTTGAGTTACCAAATTTTAGGGTGTCGCTTTGTTTTGATGGTCCCTTTAACGCATTTTGTTGATTTTAAGTTGCATTGCATCTACATGCCAACTAATTCTCATTAGACTGTTTGGTTGGGGTTAGGGTTTAAGTTAGTGTAAGTTGACATGTACTTGCAAAGTTTCTTATAGTCAGTTAAATGTGTTGAAGGAGCAGCATCAACAGATATTAAGCAGTCTACTAATACACAAATGAGAATTCATTTACAACTTGGTGCAATATAGCAACTAATAGTGTACACTACTGTATATACGTGTACATTACTATAGTTTTAATTGTTTGAGTTAAGTGAGATTGATATGCTATTTGAATCAAAATAAGTGTTTTAGAACAATAATTACATTCTTAAAAATTTATTTTTTTTTTGGGCATCAGTAGTCCTTTAAAGAAACTTTACCATCCCTGGAACTTTCCATTGCACAAAAGTTCTTTAAAGGTCATTAAAACTAATTTAAAGACTTTTAATAATTAAAACATTAAAAGGACATAAGGACTTTTAAATTAGACTAGACAAAATATAATTGTCGTTAAAGGGACAGTTCTCTTCCAGAAATTGCTATTAATCAAAGTTGATGATCTAATATAATAAAGTTCTGTTTCTTTTTACAGACCAATAAAAAAAAAAGAACTCAGGTCATGTGGGTATTAATTTTGTTTCTCCTGTACATACTTAGCTGTTGACCTTCCCAGGAACCATAATTTCACATACAGATCTTCTTTAAATTCTTCATTCATTCAATTTTTTTGAACTTAGTCCCTTATTTAACAGGGGTCGCCACAGCGGAATGAACCACCAACTATTCCGGCATATGTTTTACGCAGAGGATCCCCTTTCGGCCTCAACCCAGTACTGGGAAAGACCCATACACCCATTCACACACACTCATATATACGGCTAATTCAGTTCGCACAATTCACTTATCGCGCATGTCTTTGGACTGTGGGGGAAACTGGAGCCAACTGGTCCAGCCAAGACTCCAACCAGCGACTTTCTTGCTGTGAGGTGACAAGTGCCAACCACTGAGCCACCATGCCACTCTAATGTTCTTCAATGTAAAGTCAAATAAATGAAGATAAAGTAAGCAAAGTTTATTTGTAAACTGATTTCAAGAGGATCGCTTGCATGATTGATCACAGCTGGTCCCTTATTAACACTTGATTCACTAATCAGACAATTCCCAACTCACTAAAAATATCTTATCCTAGTATATTTGACTTGAAGAATCAGGAAGGGGGGGAGTGGGGGTAGAAAGGGTTTGTCTTTAAGAATCCTCCTTCCATCCCTACTCCCCCTTGTTTCTAGGTGGGCGACATGGCAGCCCAGTGATTAGCACTGTTGCCTTACAGTAACAATGTCCCTGGTTAAAGTCCCAGCTAAACCAATTGACATTTCTGTGCGAAGTTTGATTGTTCTCCCCGATCTCGTCTGGGTTTTCACTGGGTTCTCTGGTTTTCTCCCACAGTCCAGAAAACACGCAACCTAAGTAAATTAAACATACCAAATTGGCATCATAGTCAAGCTCTTAGCAAGCAGTATATATCTCCTTAGCCATTTTTTTATTTGCCATTAGCCAGAAATAAGTCATGGGAGCACATCCAGATCTACAGTATCTGAGCGCAAACTTCCCTCTCAACCTGCTAATGAGAGGGAGCCCAGGGCTTGAGGATCTTATAAGCTCAGGGCTCTCCCGGGACAGCATGCCAAACAACCTTATTAGCAATCATCAGCTATGTGAAGTCTTCAAAAATGTATATTGTTGATTTATCAAAATTAGAATCAATTAAAATCATGAAATAAGTATTTATATCCCAGACCTACTTTTACTGTATGTTTAAAATAAGAAATTCTGATTAATATGCACAAAAAGGCTACTACTTTTCTCACAGCCAGCTGTTCTATCTACTACCTTTGAAATTTGCATCAGAAGCGACTAATATCTTATCTACTGTTCATTGCAAATAATAATTTTGCTTCAGCCAGAGAGATAGCAACCTGAAGATAACACAGCTGCAGAAGTAATATTAATATTGCATTTCTTTTTTTAAAATCTGCTGATTTTTGTGGCTTTTAAACTAGGTGATATAGATGAAATCTCTTCGATATGGCCTGCTTATCTGATGTAAAATCTAACTATCTGCATTTCCTTCTCAAAAACAATGATATCGCTGGTAATATGCTGTATTGTAATCATTGTAACCATCATTCCAAGATATAAATCTTCTAATAAATCACATAGCCGGTACGATTATAGACACATTAAGTATTAATACATCCAACCTCACAAGCCTCACACGTCCCTTCTCTCAAAGATTTATGCTGCTGGATTTAGCAGATGGAGTATTCACAGATGATTTGCGATATTACTAGAGTCCCTCTCCCAGTTGCTCAACATCTTTAAAGATACAGATATCCAATCCAGTAGACAAGATTGAAGAGGCCGAAGGCGGTTGGGAAGAATATTCTAGAATAAGAGTCGATTTTGGAGACATGGACATGCATTCTGTTCTCACGCCAAGCTCCGGAGCGACAGTCGTCGAAGCAGCAGAAGAAACTGGTGCAGTCTTTTCCATCCAGACACTCATACGCATAATCATCATCCTCGTGGTAGGGAGCAATATTGTTCATCTGCAGCAGAGATGTCCCCGGTCTGATGTTAACCATGCTGGGTTTCTAGAGAGAGGAACAGCAAGGTCAGAACTAAAACAGCGTGCCGTGCAAAAGCAAATGCCAGAGCTGCTGTACAGCACACTCAATTAGCTACGAAGTACAGTGTGACCTACTCCAACTTGAGCTGTGAAGACGATAGCAAGCTTTGCAGTAAGCTAATTATGGTTCATATTAGTCAACTGTGCTAAATTACTTGTACAGTCTTTTAAGCAACATGAAGTTGAGTATTTTGTTGTTATTTGAAAAAATATCAGTAAAACATTAAAGATTTGCTGAAACTTTGTGTTATAAAATACAAGTCAATTACAAGTTATACACAATATTCAAGTTCCAAGAACCAGGGTAGAGTTGCACAAGCAGTTCTTGCATAAACGGAAAAGAAAAGTCCACACTAGAGGCTTAGGCCCCGTTTACACTAGTGGGTTTTAGTTTTAAAACGGCGTTTTAGAATGAAAACGATCCGCGTCTACACTAGCGTTTTACCCAGCGTTTCTAAACTGCTCTTCGTCCACACCAAAAAGCTGAAAACGCACATCACGTGACCACACACACACTCTCGGGCAAGCGCTGCAGCATTTCTACCCAGATGAGAGCTGTGCTGGTCAGACTGCTCACCAAGCGTCTCTGGATCTAATCTCACTATATTTGTTAAACGTGATATTTAATTAATCTTGTTGTCTATATCTAACGACATATTCCCCGACTTTGGTCTTTTGAATCGATTACTTGTTCACAGGTAACTTGTTTTGGCTGAGCGCAAAGATAAGTTAATAATTAATGTAACCACGTACATTCTGAATATTGACTGATCGCTTGCCTTTGTTTCGTATAATGTATAAACTTATTGTCCGTTACACTTTCATAATGGCTATTGTTGATTATTAAAACTGATATTCAGCAAAGCAGAGGATACGTTTCGTATTTTCAATGAAAATAAAAGGAGGCAGTGATGTTATATAGGCTCTGTTTTATTATAAATAAGCATACAGTGAAGATGCAGCTCGACACCTCAGCATTTCTGCTGTCTGTTAAGTTGTTGATATCAAAATGAAAAAAAGCAGTTCCTTAAATCATGTTTTCATTTTATTGTTGAGAAAGTGAAACAACGTAGCCAGGATGATGTGAATAAGGTTATAAAGTACACTGTTCCCTTTGAAGATTTACTGGACATGTCCTCGAGGGTCTGTTTTCCATATCAAACTTGCGAAGTCTGAACTTACAGGGAGAGGATGCGAGATTGAACTGTGTGTGTAAGCTACTTAACATTGAGGAAAAGCCCCAATCAGATGGGCGAATCTTAGCAGCCCCGCCTTTGTTTTCAGATGTCTCCATTTTCCCCATCCACACTGAGACGGAGCAGCAGCGTTTTAGAATGAAAACGGCCGCTCCAGCGTTTTCAAAACGCTCCGTTTTCGGCGCTCGAGAACTCTGGCGTAGTGTGGACGGATGGCGTAACCGTAGCAAAACTTATGCGTTTTAAAACGAAAATGCATTAGTGTAAACAGGGCCTTAGTGACTACTAACAAGTTCGTAACTAAATTTGTTCGTTTGCGCCACGTTCTTAAAGCAGACCATAGATAGCAGGTCATAAACTCTCTGCAAAGTAACGTGTAGTAAAATTGAATGGCGTAATACCCAATAAGAAGCACTTACAACATTAAAATGCTTAAAAATTCTGCATTTATATATGTTGCCCCAAGAAAACCACAACATATTGTGAACATAGCTGTCCAATAAAAATGATTTGATAAATAAAATTTGTTTTGTACATTACAGTACATTCAGTCACAATGGCAGACAACACACATTCTGTATCTGCATTTGAGAGACATGAATGCACACAAAATACACAATATGTTGTCAAAACATTAAACCTGAAATTATTTTAATAGCCTACAGATGACAGAGAAAAGAACAGGGATAAAACCTCAGTCAAATTGTCATTATAATTAATAAATAAAATTAAATGTTTGAAAGAAAATGAAACTATTCATTCACAAAACAAGTGAAAGTTGTAAGGCTGCGAGTTGTAGAGGGAGATGGTTTTTCATCATAAGCTCGTCAATAAAAACTAATCTTGCTGTCATCTCTTTTCTACCATTATACATCAGTAGATAATATAATAAAGTAGCTGCTTTATTTGGTGTTTAAACAAGGTTCAGTGGTGCAACATAAAAATATTTAGTAGTAAGTTGTAACTTAGTGGGCCCTAACATACACCCGGCACAATAAGACACAAGACGTGTTTGGCGTGGTTTGTTGCTATTTTCAATTTTTTGAGCTACGTTGTTTAAATAGCAAATCCATGTGCACAACTCTGTGAACTCGTAAGCGTGCTGGTCTAAAAAGGAGGTGTGTTAAGGCGCATTGCTGGCACGTAGCTATTTTGACATGGTCAAAATAACTGACATGGGTCACGCCATTGATCTATTTACAGCAAGTTTAAATTCTAACGCAGAGCGCGTTAATTATGCACCTCTGCCAGTCCAAATGCTTACACA